TAAAATGCTATCTTCCACAATAGGCGCCAAAACGCTCCCGGATTATCCAAAACCCGATCCGGGCATACGCCCAAGTCCGAAATCATAATACGAACCTGCTGGAACCTTCGGATCCTAATTCCGAGGTCGTTTACTCAAAATTCCAATCCTAGTTCATTTCTTCAATTTTAAGCTTTCAAAATGAGAATTTCCATTTAGATTTGACTCCAAACTTCCTGAATTTTAATTCTGACCATACACATAAGTCAATATACCTGAGATGAAGCCGCTCATGGCCTCAAACTGCTGAATAATGTGCCGGAGCTCAAAACGACCGGTCGGGTCGTTACAACAATCACACGATTTGGACATTAAATGCTAAAAATGCAAAGTACATATTTTTGTGACTTTTCCGTTTTGTAAAACAAACTTGATTATTTAATTAAGTCCTAAATTGTAAAATTAAATCCTAAATGCACATGCAACACTTATTTTGTATTTTTCTTAATTAAAGTAGAAATAAACATGCACAGACAAAATACAAATAAATCACAAACAACACAAAACCATTTTATTTTGAATTTTTGGGAGTAGTTCTCATAGGGCAAAAATCACGTGCTCACACTAGGTAGAGTTGGAAATGATGAACACTTTATTGGAATATGTTGTCACCTGTAGAAGCGGCATAAAACCACAAACATCTCTCTGAGTGGCCATGCTCGCCCGACACATCTGCCTATACATGTAGCCGAGAACAGCAGCATCCCAGCTGTAATAGGGTAACTCATCCAGCAGCTGAAGATGATGCAAAAATCTATGGCTGACGAGGTTTCCTGAAGTATTAGGGAACAAGACCCCTCCAAATAGAAGAAGCAACAACAACCTCGTATAATGGGTGATATGCTCCTCCTCTGTATCGTCAGTGATATCGGGGTGGAGTAGCTCCAAGTACTGTCTAATAGGGGTCAAAGCCAACCGACTAGCACCAGACGATGCAACCTCATCCTGAGGCCTGAAACCAGTGAGCTGATGCAGCATGTCCAAATAATGATCACGCGACATATATCTCATAGCAATAGGCAGTGAAACGGCCATGCCATCAGCAGGCAGGCCATATAAAACCTCAACATCCTGTAGCGTGATGGTAGCCTTGCCAATGGGCCAATGAAAAGTATGCGTCTCCGGTCGCCACCGCTCAATCAACACCGTGATCAACGCCCAGTCAACCTGCATCTCGCCGATCTCAATAATCTTATAGAATCATGTGGCCTGGAGGCGACGGACTACACATTCGTGGAGAACTCTGTCATGAAGAAAATCCCACATGTCGTCCACTCTCCTAGCGGGGAGAGTCTGGGAAAGTAACTCTCCATCCCATATATGGGCGGACCTATGATCGCCCTGAAGCACTAATAGCTCACGAGAGTAAGGGCCGGGATGTATAGGCGCGTCAATGTCGTCAACTGTAAATTAAACAACATTAATTGTATGTTAATTATTAAATTGTACAAAGTATATGTAACAATTTGGGTCCAGGCTCGATATTTTAGGCCCAATAGCACCAAATTTTCATGAATATTTATGTGTCTCAATTTTAATTTTTTTTTATAATTTTGTGTGTGTTTGTTTTATAATTTAAATTCTATATTTTTTAGAGATTTAATTGTACAAAGTATATGTAATAATTTGGGTCCAGGCTCAATATTTTAGGCCCAGTAGCACCAAATTTTCATGAATATTTATGTGTGTCAATTTTAATTTTTTTTTTATAATTTTGTGTGTGTTTGTTTTATAATTTAAATTCTATATTTTTTAGAGATTTAATTGTACAAAGTATATGTAACAATTTGGGTCCAGGCTCAATATTTTAGGCCCAGTAGAACCAAATTTACATGAATATTTATGTGTGTCAAATTCAATTTTTTGATAATTTTGTGCGTGTTTGTTTTATAATTTAAATTCTAAATTTTTAATTATTAAATTGTACAAAGTATATGTAACAATTTGGGTCCAGGCTCGATATTTTAGGCCCAATAGCACCAAATTTACATGAATATTTATGTGTGTCAATTTCAATTTTTTGATAATTTTGTGCGTGTTTGTTTTATAATTTAAATTCTAAATTTTTAATTATTAAATTGTACAAAGTATATGTAACAATTTGGGTCCAGGCTTGATATTTTAGGCCCAATAGCACCAAATTTTCATGAATATTTATGTGTGTCAATTTCAATTTTTTAATAACTTTGTGTGTGTTTATTTTATAATTTAAATTTTATTTTTTTAGAAATTTAATTGTACAAAGTATATGTAACATTTGGGTTTCAGGCTCGATATTTAAGGCCCAGTAGCACCAAACTATCGTGAATATTTATGTATGTCAAATTTAATTTTTCGATTATTTTGTGTGTGTTTGTTTTATAATTTAAATTCTAAATTTGTACAAAGTATATATTTTCATCTACCATTCTAAAATTACTTAAACTACAAGGATTCTACGCTAAAATACTATACAGTTTACTATGTTAAAAGTTTCTACATTTTACTACGCTAATAAATAAACTAAATATAAACAACATATATATTTTAATCACATAACATTAAAAAAATAGCTACAACAATACTAGTTTCGCAAATAAAAAACACATAATGACATAGAAATACTAATATCTAAATACTTATATTAACATAAAAATTAAATCTAAATTTTACACTGATATCTAAGTCCGGATAAATATAACATACTAGTTTTGTAAATACAACACAAAAGGACATGGAAACACATTCAATAGGCAGTGATATACATTATTATACAAGTTTGGACATAAAATAAATCGAAATACCTCGATGTTGTGTGTGTATTGCGTGAAAATTTGAAGACGAAGGAGATAAACCACGAGTCCAGAATGCTCTACTACGATGAAGGACCTACGTTCCTGACCTTTTGTGTGACGAGAGGGCCCCACAATTTTATTTTTTTAGATTGTCGAGCAGTTGGGGGTGGGGGGATCAGTGTTTGTAAAAAAAAAATGGGGGAGGATTCTGTCGAGAAAGAAGACGAGTTCAAATTAAACGTTATATATAGTGTATGATTTGAAAACACTATATATAACATTTAATTTAAACACGCTATATGAGAAGTCAAATCGTGTGACACATATAGCGTGTAACAACAACACGCTATACTTAACGGCAGACGTTACCATTAATATATAGCGTGTTCTTGTTGCACGCTATATATAGAAATGTCATTTTTTTAATACACTTATTTGTGTGTTTTGAGTCCAAACACACATTATTTAGGTTCCGGACTCAGTCAATTAGTGCCACTCTCTGTCATTTTTTTTTCTTTTTATAATATTGGACTGATAGAGGCTATCGTCAATAGTTTCTTTAAGAGAAAACCACCCTCTATAGTCCCTTAAAATTTTAATAGCCCATGTTTTTATTCATTGACACAAAATGACCCTCCGGGCGAAACATATTATTTTGTATATTTTTTGTATAGTGACAGTTTATTTTCTATAGTGACAGTATATTTTGTATATTTTTTGTATAGTGATAGTCTATTTAATATATATTTTGTATAGTGACAATCTATTTTGTATAGTGTCAGTCTATTGTATATAAATTATATAGTGACAGTCTATTTAGTATATTCTTGTATAGTGATAGTTTATTTTGTATATATTTTATATAGTAACGGTATATTTTTGTATATATTTTGTATAGTGATAGTTTATTTTGTATATATTTTATATAGTAACGGTATATTTTTGTATATATTTTGTATAGTGATAGTCTACTGTATATAAATTGTATAGTGACAATCTATTTTTGTGTAATGACTATCTATTTTGTGTGTATATTTTAATATTCAAAAGAAATACTCTCCAGTCTAATACATAATCTAAAATGACTTTTAAATATTGGTGATATGATGAACAAAAAAGTTTGAATTGTGTGTAGTGCTAGGGCCTGATAATAAATTTTCCTTGATATAAGAGGATGAATAAAGTTTGCTTATGAAAATTATTATTGCTTTTTTTAGCATATGTACTTCAGGTTATGGCTGGGTTTGCATTAGGATTCAATCTCTAGGTTATGAATGTTCTGTGCTCTTGTAGTAGTGTCACGATCCAAAACTCATCCCGTCGTGATGACGCCTATCGTGAAACTAGGCCAGCCTCAACTAAATGCAACCCAAAACCACAATACTAAAATCGAATCATTTGCGAAAAAACTTTTATCATTTTAAATAAATTGTTTAAGACATAACATAAAGATTCATATTATGATACAACCATCCCAAAACCAAGGTGTCACGGAGTACATGAACGTCTAAGGTGAATACATAGTCTATTAAATTGCCTAAAGAGGCAACTGTAATACAACTGGAAATGAGAAGGAGAGTCAAGGCCTGCAAACGCAATGCAGATACCTCAATAAACTCCATAGCCTGCAACCTCAAACCGCGATGGCCACTTGAGCCAAAAGTACCTGGATCTGCATACAAGGTGCAGGGGGTAACATGAGTATACCGAATCAGTAAGACGTAAGTCCAACCTTTAGACTGATAGGCAGTGACGAACTCAATCTCATCAAGGGTAACAAAAATAATGTACAAATAAGTAAGCATGCTTTCAGTTAAATAAATAGCTCGAACAGTAAAAAAAATAGCAGGTATATATAGGGTAAGGAAGTGTAACTCTGCTACGTCTACATGCCAATGCACACGCTGTGTGAAATGCACCATGCTGAGTGCCTCATGTGCCTACAATCTCAAATTCTCCTCCACCCAGTACTATATATGGCTCATACGGCCCAGGGAAGATCCATACTGGAATATATATACATCTCTGACAACAGTCACTCAGTACTGAGGAAGGCCATTCCAGCCTATGGAGAAGATCCATCTCCAGATAATAACAATAACAACCTCACAACCACTCGGTACTGTATATGGCTCACCAGGCCCAGGGAAGATCCATACTGGAATATATATACATCTCTGACAACAGTCACTCAGTACTGAGGAAGGCCATTCCAGCCTATGGAGAAGATCCATCTCCAGATAATAACAATAACAACCTCACAACCACTCGGTACTGTATATGGCTCACCAGGCCCAGGGAAGATCCATCCCGGAATATATACACATCACTGACAACAGTTATCCAGTACTGAGGAAGTCCATTCCAGCCCTATGGAGAAGATCCATCTCCAAGTATAATTACTTCGGACAAGATCCATGTCCAGGGAAAATTCATCCTTCAATAATATCAACTGCACTCACTAGGGGTGTATAGACTCCGGAGGGGATCCTTTCAAGCAAAGCGCTATAACAAGCCAACAAATGCATAATCAATATCCCACTGGGACGTGCAGCCCGATCCCATACTGTCACTCAGTATCAGGCTCTCGGTCTCCCTCAGTCATCACTCTCCAGTCTCATACACACGGGCTCAAAATGCCATGATACTAGCCCGAAATATTGATATGATGTTCCAAATAACAATAATCGAGACTGAGACATGATATAATATGCATGAACAGGACTGAGTACAGAATATCAATGAAGTTAACGATATGACAGCAAAAAACAACCTCTCGGGTCTCTACAGTATCAACGTGAATCCTTAACATGATAATTAGCAAGATTTACAGCTCATTAACTTAATCACATAATCATAACATATATATCAGCAAAAAGAGTCACTAAGTGGTGCCATGGAATGATCTAGGCTGCAATTATTCCGATGAATGCCCACACGCCCATCACTTGGCATTTACATCACCTCAATAGTAATCATAGAACACATAGTTCAAGGTTTCGAACCCTCAGAACCAAGTTTGGAAGCGTTACTTACCTCAAACCAAGCTAAAACTCTAACTCGCAATACCCTTGCCTCTCAATTTGACCTCCAAATGCTCCGAATCTAACCAAAATCAATATATTATCATCAGTATACACCAAAGGAATGAAACCCATATGAAAATTATCAAATTAGATAAAAATCCTGAATTTTCTCAAACCCGGCCCCCAATGTCCACGTCTCGGAATCCGATAAAAATCATAAAACTAGAAAGCCCATTCACTCACGAGTCTACCCATATCAAATTCACCAAAATCCGACGTCAAATGGCCATCCAAATCCCTAAAATTCACTCTCCAAATTTTCTTCCATTTTCCCCAATTTTTACCCCAAATTCCCAAATTAAATGCTAAAAAT